TCACCGGGTTGCACAAGAACTCCAAGGTGTCAGTTATCTTGCAGGGTAGAAAATTTACGATTTTCGTCAGACGGTCCACTATAACCCAAATAGCATCACGGCCCCTTGGGGTTTTGGGTAATCCAATCACAAAATCCATCATTACATGTTCCCACTTTCATTTGGATACTAGTAGAGGCTGTAACATTCCTCCTGGTTTCTGATGTTCTGCTTTCATTAATTGGCATATAAGGCATCTTGCCACAAACTTAGCCACATTTTTCTTCATACCACTCCACCAATACTGTCATTTCAAATCGTGGTACATTTTACTCCCTCCTGGATGTACCACAAGGGCCGAGTAATGAAATTCCTTAAGTATTCTTTCTCTATGTGACTTGCTATTTGGTATAAATAGCCTGCCTTGGTATCTTAATTTCCCATCTGAGCGAATTGACCAGTTGGGTACTGTTTTCTTCATTCCAAGCATGTCTTGATGAAAACTACTTTTTGATCGTGATCTTGAGCTCCCATGACTTCACTTACTAACTTAGGCATCACATTTGTGCACCAAGGTATGCCTTCCTGTCTACTCCAATGACGTCAATTTCCCAGACTGAGAAAGGCTATGGCAAAGTCATGTTGTAAAGCTTCGACGGTAGAATCTTCATGTGATTAACATGAATTTGACATTTGTGGCATCGCTGAACAAAGTTAATACAATCATCCTTGGCATTTGCCCCTGGTGGATACATATCCTTGGCCAGAAAATTCCAAATGTCATAATACCAAGCGTTTTTGTCTTGAACCTTATCCATTGCGGCTATCATCTCATAAGCAGACGTATACTTCTATTCAATGATGATTAGACACATCTTTACCCCAAGCGGTATGTCTACCATGGGTGATAGAGTTGCTAGCACATCAACAAACTAGTTGTTCTCTCTCAACAAATATGTAGACTCGGGTTGGTATGGTGGAGATTCTGAACCCCTGTCTTGTTTTCTTTGTTTTCTAGACTTTCAATCCTTTGGTTGGTGAATCATTTAAACTTTTCAAGATCATTATTTGTTTATTCTCTCTTGCCAATTATCAGAACCACTTCTTGACTACTTGCAACTTTGCGTTGGTAATTTATTTAGGAAAACTGGTAGCCTAGATTTATAGTAAACTTTTTCTCAGGAATTGTCAAAGATGTCTATCTAGAAATAGTTTTGTTATTACTTCAACTCGTATACAATTCTGAGCTATTATTTGTTGAGTAAATTTTACAGTTTGAGGGTTTTGTGCCATTTCAGTTCTAGAAGGAAAAAAAATTGAAAAGGAAAAAAAGAAGAAGCTAATACTAATTCCCAAACCACCCTTTAATATTATTGGTTGAAATTGTAGATGATTTTTGCGGAGGTACGGATGATTTTATTTGTCATTGCTAGTTGTTTGGCGATTTTGCTTCTAGATAGAATGATATAGACTGATTTAGTGGTTCATGTGTTCTATTTTAATCTTTGTTGTAGTTAGTTCTCAATTTTAGTATATGTAGATTTGTGGAATGGTTTAAGTGCCCTTTGGGGTCTATTCTTCTTCAGATGGCCTACTGGAAGAAGGCAACAAATATAACGAAACAAAACGAATAGGATTGCATCTTTCTAGATTTTTTTTTCTTTTTTATCTTGTTATGGACTAATTTGTAGTGCAAGATTTCATATGGTTGGGGATGCACATTTCGTGGTGAAGTTTGCTCAATTAATAGGAAGTTCAATAGCTGTGTCATATCTCCCACTATACGACTGTTTAATAGGAGTTGAAAAGAAATTGAAATTGAGAGAGATTTGAAGCTAATTTAATAATTTTTATGAACACTCTACATGATTCAACACAAATAGATTAAGACATTTAAAAACAAATCTTGATATAAATTTTTATAGGAGCTGTTATAATGCTTCATAGTCTTAAGCTATTCAATATGGCCTATTTGATTGGTGAAAGTCTCTATATATATATTTATATTTATTTACATGTGATTCATTCTAGAGACATGTGTCATTTTGTTGGACCTTCATTTAGTCTTATTCCCTTCGTAATACATTTGAAAAATTAATCTATTATAAATTTATGAGGAAATAGATGCAGGAAAGGGATAGGAATCACAGTTGCCAAGGGTCTTGTGGAAAATATAGTGGCAGTCATTAAGAAAGGAGATAGGATTATGTTAGTTAAACAAGTTATTAGAAGGAATATAGTGAACGTTATTAGTGCATATGTCCCTCAAGTAGGATTAGATGATCAGACTGAGATGGATTTTTGAGAGCGAATGGATGAGATCTTATAGGAGATACCCATAGGAGAGAACCTAGTTCTAGGTGGAGATTTCAATGGCCATGTAGACATAAATAAATTAGGCTATAAAAGGGTGCATGGTAGATACAATTTTGGTGATAGAAATGAGGCTGGAGAGAGAATCTTAGATTTTGCGTTGGTTTCTAACCTGGTGATAACCAATACTACGTATAAGAAGATGGAGGAGCATTTGATAACCTTTAAGAGTGGGTTAGTTAAGAGCCAAATAGATTACTTTTTAGTGAGAAAAGTGGACCGCCTAAAATGCAGTGATTGTAAGGTGATTCTTAGAGAGCCTGACCTCTCAATATAGAATTTTTGTACTAGATTTATATTTTAAAGGGCAATACCAAGCTAGGAAGAATGGTGGGCGTCGTAGGACGAGATGGTGGGACCTAAAAGGGAATAAACTAAAAATATTTAAGAATAGAATGGACAAGGAAAGTACTTGGGACTTGGAAGATGATGCTAACACTATGTGGAACTCCATGGCCAATTGTATGAGGAGAATCTCAAGGGAAGTGCTTGGAGAGTCGAAAGGAACGGGACCCAACTCTAAGGAAACTTGGTGGTGGAGGAAAGAGATTCAAGTGGTAGTTAAGGCAAAAAAAGAGTGTTTTAAAAAGTGGCAAAATGATAGAATTGAGAAAAACCTTAAGAGCTATAGATTGGCTAATAAAGAGGTCAAGAAAGTAGTGAGAGAGGTTAAGTTGAAAGCTTATGATAACCTATGCACTAGACTAGATAGTAAGGAGGGAGAAAAGAGAGTCTACAAACTTGTTGAGATACAAGAGAAGAAAATAAGAGATTTTAATCAAGTTAAGTGCATCAAGAGTGAGGATTCTAAGGTATTAGTGAAAGATAAAGAGATTAAGGAGAGATGGAAGAACTATTTTGAGAAAGTATTAAATGAGGAACATGGAGGTACATCAATAGGGGAAGAAATAGTCAGTAATATGAAAAACCAATACTATAGATTCTATCGCAAGATTAAGAACTTTGAAGTGGAGATTGCACTTAAGAAGATGAAACCAAATAAGGCTTTAGAACCCGATGATATCCCTATTGAAGCTTGAAAGTGTTTGGGTAAAAAGGGGGTTGTTTGGTTGACTAGGTTGTTTAGCAAAATTTTGTTGACTAGGCACATGCTAAATGAGTGGAGGAAGAATATTTTAGTGCCAATCTATAAAAATAAAGATGTCTAGAATTGCAACAACTATAGAGGAATCAAGCTAATGTGTCATATAATGAAAGTGTGGGAGAGGGTGATGGAACACCAATTGCGAGATATAACAGAGGTGTCAGAGAACTAATTTGAGTTTATGCGTGGCAGGTCAACAATGAAAGCGATCTATCTTTTGAGGAGAGTAATAGAAAAATATAGAGAAAAGAAAATAGACATTCATATGGTGTTTATCGACCTTGAGAAAGTATATGATAGAGTGTCTCAGGATATAATATGGTGGGTGTTAAAAAAAAAGAGGTAACAAAAGGTTACACTGATGTAATTAGGGATATGTATGAAGGGGTGGTGATCACTATTAGTTCGCTTGCTGGAGAGACAAATGAATTTCCTATCATTGTAGGGTTACACTAAGGATCTATTTTAAGTCCTTATCTTTTTACTTTAGTTATAGATGAGTTAACGAGAAATATTCAGGATGACGTGCCATGGTGTATGCTTTTTGCAGATGATATCGTGTTAGTGGATGAGACTAGAGAAGGAGTTAACACAAAGTTGGAGATTTGGAAAAAAACACTTGAATCTAAAGAATTCCGGATAAGCAGAATTAAGACAGAGTACATGGAGTATAAATTTAATAACAGCAACAATGAAAGCAAAGAAGAACTGAAGATTGAGAATCAAGAACTGCTTAAGAGTGAACATTTTCATTATTTAGAATCAATTATCACAACGGCGGGAGAGATTGATGCGGAGGTGGCCCATAAGATTAAGGCGGGATGGCTTAAGTGGAGAAGTGCGTCTAGAGTACTGTACGATAAACAAGTACTCACTAGACTAAAAAGTAAGTTTTATACAACGGTTATTAGACCAGCGATGTTATATGGGGCGGAGTGTTGGGCAACCAAGAAACAACATGTAAATAAGATGAGTGTTGTTGAGATGAGGATGCTAAGGTGGATATGTGGCAAGACTAGACAAGACAAGACAGAATTAAGAATAAGTGTATTTCGGAATGGGAAGGAGTAGCACCGATAGAAGTTAAGTTGAGATAGAATCGACTGAGATGATTTGGTCCTATTCAACGGAAATCAATAGAGGCAGTAGTAAAGAAATGAGATATAGTGACGGTGGATGGTAATGTTAAGAGACCGGGTAGACCTTGATTAACTTTGGCTAGCGTTATAAATAGAGAATGGATCTACTTAATTTGACTAACGAAATAGCCTTCGATAGAGCTGCATAAAGAAGGATTCATGTAGCTGACCCCATTTGATGGGACTTGAGGCTTGGTTTGGTTTGGTATTACTAACAAGCCAATATTTATATACATCATTTTTTGTGAGTTGTTAACCTTTTTCTTTTTTTTTCTTTTTTTTTAATATTCTCAATTATGTTTTGATGTCACATATGAGTGTATTTCTTTCTAATGGATCGGGAATGCTATCTGATATATTGACTCATAATTTCTAATAAATCAATATATGTGGGAGTTCTGCAGCCTCTGGATGAAGATTACCGAATTTTGAGCATTGATTACCAAATCGAAGCCTCAAAATCTGACTTGTAATCTCCAACGCTTGCTAGATTTCACCAGAAAATAGATCTTATAGCTTTGATAGGCCACACAAGTTCCAACTCTGCCACAACATCAGGTATTTATGAATTTTAGATTTTTTTTTTTAATGATTGTGGATTTCAGGTCGTCTAATTTGATTAGTGGGTTTGTTGCTCTTGATTTATCTGTGAGTTCTCAAAGAAATGTTTGTGTGATGAATTTTTTTTAGTTCTTCAAATCGCAAATTCATATTGTATAATTGAATCGAAATACAATATATTCAAACCATATCATGTAGAAATTCCAATTTTTATCTACAACTCAAAAGATGGTTCGAAGCTTGTAACGCTATTTTCTTTTCCAACAATGCTTATAAAATAACTGCTAAATGGTTATAATAACTGTTAAACAGTTTTCAAATTTAACCCATCTTCTTGGGAAGATATCTGGTAGGTCTGCCCTACCACGTGCCTGTGTGCCCATAACAAAATAGGTGATTGCTTTATGTGAAACATAGGAGAAAAAATAGGAAATAATGGATGAAAGTGGGTTATTTGTGTTAAAAGGAACGTACATGAAGAGCAATCTTTAAAATTTAAAAAATAAAATAAAATAAAAAAAGCCACTGGTTTGTGTTTTTTAAGGTATTTTGTTTCACGGGAAAACAAACATGGACTTTGAATAAAAGGGAATCAGTTTTTCCCATAAACTGCAGCAATCAAGATGAATAAACAAAAGGCCAGTGAAATGACCAAACCCACAATTTCGACAGGTGAATGTCCAAAGCTCAGGGGTTGTGAATTCTCTATACTGAGTGAGTGTGTGAGTACCCATTGCACTGAATGTTTTTCTTTTGTCCATCTGTCTCACTACGCGTGATAGTTTGAAATGTTTTAGTGGTGACGCCCATATTTTGTATATGTGGTAGTCCACATCATTATGCAGTAATAAGACAATGTCCATAGCTTTATTGAAACTCTTGTATGCGTTTTTTTCATGATTACCTAGAATTTGTTGACATATGGCTGTCGCACGACTACTGTAACCTGATCTCGTTGTATTCTAGGTCTGTTTTTGATAACTTCTTCCTATACATGAACAAAAAGCTCAAAGGAGATTTGTAGCTTGCCGTTCACATTTGGTGCATAGTTTATATTGGAGAAGAAGCCTGGTGAAAGCAATAAAGTAATGCATTTTTATCTATAAAAGAGCTTCAGAAAGAAACTACCAATGTTTGGGGTCATTTCTGTCTCTACATTTGTTTCGCCTCATTTATCTACAGCTTCAAGGTTTATTGATAACTTTGAATCTATCAATATAGTATTTGAATAGGTGTGTTTTATGTTACCCTCAATCACTTTGTTGGGAACCTTGCAGATTGATCGTTAAGATGTCTGCAACAGGAACCAGAAACCCTGGAATATCAATCCAATCTGTGGCTGTAAAGCCTCCTTCTCACCCTACATATGATTTGAAGGGTGTCATCAAGCTTGCCCTCGCGGAAGATGCTGGGGATCGAGGTTTAATTCCTCTCGTCTTCTGTGGTTCTCTTGCAAATGTGTTTCGACTTTATGAATCTTACATAGATTTAACAATATTTTGTGTCACTATCAACTACACTAAAATCCACTCTCTTAGAGAATCTTCAATCGTTCGTCAATTTTTTCATCAAATTTGAATTTGATGAAAAAATGGTTATAAAAGGATGTTTGAATCATTTCATCAAATATGTATCAAATCAAGGGAGAGGCAATTTTTTCACCAAATCAAGGATGAAACAAATCTTCACCAATTTCCCGACTTTCATACTTTTACTCAGATTTGATGAAATTTTAAAAAGAGAAGGATTGGAGATGGTTTTCTATGATCAAAAATGGTTAAAACAAGGTTTTTAGGATAAGTTTGGAATTTTTCAAAAAGATTTGATGAAGAAAAAAAGAGTACGGATTGGGGTGTTTTACACCACATCAAGCTTTTAACCAAATTTTTACTAAAAAAAAAAGAGCAAACGATTGGAGATGCTCTTACAAGCTGTAATTTATGAATTATCAAGGTTGTAAACAACATTTCATAATATTGTACATTATGTGGCTTCAAATGCACAGGGGATGTGACCTGTATGGCCACGATTCCAGCTGACATGGAAGTAGAAGCCCATTTCTTGGCAAAAGAGAATGGGGTCATTGCTGGAATTGCACTGGCAGAGATGATATTCGGCGAGGTTGATCCTACCCTGAAGGTCAGGCATAAAAGTCTCTATGTTTTACATATATATGTGATTTGAATGCTTGGTCATTCTTTTTTTATGTACTTATATCAGGTGGAGTGGTCAAGAAAAGATGGAGATTGTGTTCAGAAAGGACTGCAGTTTGGCAAAGTGCATGGTAAACAAAGAAAAGTGCTCCGATGTCACAAATGGACAAATTTGAATAAGTTTTTGTTTCTTCAGCTCTCTTTTGCCCCACTTTTTTAAAAACATGCAGGGCGGGCACACAACATTGTTGTAGCTGAAAGGGTTGTGCTTAATTTTATGCAGAGGATGAGTGGAATAGCAACTCTAACAAAGGTAGAGCAACCTTTTCCTTCTCACTTTATTTATTTATTTTTGTTTCCACTCTCTCTTTCTCTCCCTCTAGCATGAAAAAACACACTGTCCATAGTAATATGGTTATCTGCTCCAATTTGGACCTTTGGCTGGAATGTGCTAACAAAATGGGTGTGATTATATTTGGATTTTAAATCAGATTAGAACAAAAAAAATTGCCAAAACAAGTTCCTCAATGCTATATTTGCTATGGTGAGCATTACATATTGTTACTGATTTTTGTCTTGATCTTTTGGCCATAATTTCTCAGTAGCTCAAGTTTAATCACCACTTTATGAAACTAAAACTATATGGTGATAGGTAATTTCTGCAACAGACTAAAATGAGCTGGAAGCGTTCTTGGTTGTTGATAATAGATAATTTAGTAACAGAATTTTAAATTTTAAATTTAGAACTGCAGGTGCAAAATAGATTGAATAACGTCTTATTGTCTTAAAATATGATGAATTGTTAATTCTGCAATAGACAAATAAGCAAGAAGCATTTCTGTTTTTAATTTATTAATGGAATTTTAAGTTTTAAACGTTGATGCATAATAGATTGAATGATGTCTTGCTATAGTGGCCTCATAAAATCCATGTGTCTAAGTACAGAATGCCCATGTTCACTGCAGGCAATGGCTGATGCTGCACGCCCTGCATACATTTTAGAGACAAGGAAAACAGCTCCCGGCTTACGTCTAGTGGACAAGTGGGCGGTGTGGATCACTTATTTTGGCTTTCTCCTTCGTAGTTGCACTGTATCTATTATCCTTTTTTAATTAAATTCTTTTTGGTGATCTTTTGTGTCTCTATTAACAGGTACTAATAGGTGGAGGGCGGAATCACAGAATGGGTTTATTTGATATGGTGATGATAAAAGATAATCATATATCAGTAGCTGGGGGTGTCAAAGATGCTCTCAGATCTGTGGACCTATATTTAGAGCAAAATAATCTTCATATGGGGGTTGAGGTAATCTGCTCACCTCAACTTTTAATGTTTCCCGTGGATTGTAGATCTCAACAATATATTAACCCGCCAATTGGATAATGAAGCGCCTCCCAATTATTTGATTGTTCTCAACTAATATTTTGTTCTAGAAAAAGTTTAGGAATGCAGAAACCGATCACAGGGAGCGCATAAACTCTTTCACATTTGTGGGTCCCACCCACACCCATGTAAGGGGGTTGTGTCTAGTTCTGTGAGTGGTTTATGTGCAAGGAGAACAAATTATTTTAATTTTTATTTGGGAAGTGAAATTTTGTGTCTTTCCCGCATCCGCCCTCTACGTGTGCATGTGATGCATCTCTGTACTTGTGATCATGTGCATAATTCATCTAGTAGCAAATTTATGTATTCTTCTGAAGTTTTTTTTATTTCTGTTGCCAGGTTGAAACCAGGACACTTGAGGAAGTAAATGAGGCATTACATTATGCATCTCAAACAAAAACTTCCTTGACTAGGATAATGCTGGATAATATGGTTGTCCCGCTACCTAATGGGGATGTTGACGTGTCAATGCTTAAAGAAGCTGTAGATCTGATCAATGGCAGATTTGACACTGAGGTATTTCTTATTGCTTATTCAAATTTATTTATTTGTTATGCTAGTTTTCTGTTAGTCATTGTCAAGCCTACCTGATCAATCAATATGTATTATTGAATTTAAGCTATTGTGTAAATACTGAATTTACCATCAATTGGCCATTTTGTTCTAATTACAGCTGTGGAGTCCCTTTGTCTGCTTGTCATAACCCTTGAATTTACGGTCATCCTTTCTTTAATTGTGGGTGTTCCATATATTTTCAACATTCACATGCTTCTCAGTCCACTGGCTTTTCAATATTCAAAAATAAGCTTGCTTCATCATATTATGTTGGTTTTTGCTGAGCAGTAAAGACTTGAGGATAAGATTCAAGGTTTCGAGTTTGACTCACCCCAAAAGGGCCACTGGAGGCTTGCCCGGTGGTTAATTTCCAGGCCCTAGGATTAGTTGAAATGCAAGCTGGCCCAGACACGCAGTTATCAATATATATATATTCAAAAATAAACTTGCTTCATCATATTATGTTGGTTTTTGCTGTGATGTAATAAATTATTGGTTGCTGACTTGACATCATCATCCAAGCTTTACTCAGCTGTTTGATATCCTCGTCAATGGTTTTTGGGTGCCATTTGATACACTATAAATGACCGTTTGGTTACTTTGATTTTTGTTATCATATCTATGGGAGATACTGAATCTAATGTCCATATGGGTTTCATTGTGACAGGCATCTGGAAATGTTACCCTTGAAACAGTGCACAAAATTGGACAAACTGGGGTGACCTACATTTCTAGGTAATGATGTCATTCTTTTATCACGGTCAATGAAGTCAGGCTTTTGGGGTTTATTCAAAAAATATATATATGTTGGGTGATTGTTCACATAATTGATGGAACTCCCAAATTCCATTTTTTGGTGATATATTTCCTGAATCAGAAGTCTTGGGGGCATCATGAACCTCTTTTTCCTGGGTATTATGCCTTTTGGATTCGAGATGTAGTTCAGATTAACTGCTCATGAGGTGCAATGAATTATCGTTCTTTTAGGTTGTGACAATGCAAAACAAAATAGAACATCGTTGTTGACAATGGAGAGATTTTTACTTACACGATATAGCATGATAAGAGGATTTTGGTATAGTTTTTCCCATAAATAAGATGATAATGGTATGGGTATCTAAAGAAAATGGTTGTTTGCGTAACTATATTTTAACTAAGAAAGGAACGGCAAGCAAAATACCAATGAGGAATGTTTGATAAATGTGCTGATAATGGGAACAAACAAGGGAGAACATTTGACTTGGAAATAAGATGCCTAAGACTGCTTGTATCATGGGAGGTTTCAGGAAAAAGTAAGATATAATATTTAATTTGTAAGACCATAAATTGTGAAGGACTCAGCTCTAACACTATGACAAGAGTTCACTACACTAACCATTAAAATGCAATGAGGTTTCATTAGCTACATCTTATTGCCAGCCCATCGAAATAGTTTAGAACAGTGAGTGGATCATATTTAATTTGGGTTTATCTAGGTTAAATTAGAGAAGGTTGGTGGTTTAGGATGCAAAGAATTATTGAAGCAACTTTTCTCTTATGTTTCATGAAATGATTTTAATAAATTTACAATATTTGTGTTGATGTTTTGCAGCGGTGCACTGACACATTCTGTGAAAGCACTTGACATTTCCCTGAAAATTGATACGGAGCTTGCACTTGAGGTTGGAAGGCGTACGAAACGAGCGTGATCTCCCTTTATTTTGTGCTCTCTTCTTTTGTCTGCACAAGTAATTCGGACTGCAGGAACAATAAAAGGGCACAGAAACGAAAGAGTAAGCATCTGAAAGTAATTACAGATCCGGAGATTCTGAACCCCAAATAGGTCAACCTTTTGAATTGTTATTAAAGATATGTGAAGTTAAGAGACAACTTGGTGAATTGAATGATCTTAGTAGCTAGAGGTATAGACAAGCATTTCCTAAGAAAATTGTCTTCAATAATGCATTTTAAAGATGAAAACAATAAATAAATAAATAAATTATTTTAAAATTATGAACTTAAGAAGATAAGGTGGATGGGACTGATGTGATTTTCAATGTTGATGGAATATGTATGGAATTTATGTATTTATGCATGTATGTATTTGATTTCATCTTTCCAAGCAGAGTTGTTTGGTTGGGTGTTTCAAGGAAAGGTTGTTTTGGGCTTAGGAAAAAAAACCTTGTGCCTGTGAGGCTATGGCCATGTTTGTTTGGGTGGATATGAGTTTGGGATTGGACTAATAGTTCAATAAAATTATTAATCTAATATTTGGTTAAACAATTGAAGTACGGACTAATTATTTTAAACTTGACTATTAGTTAAGATAGAATACATAATCAAACGGATTAGTAGTCTTAGGACTATTAGTCATGGGAATACTAATCCAGTCCGTCCAAACAAACATGACCTATGAGTGCTACCAAAATGTTTCATTTTCGTTCAAGTTACGTGTATTAGGCAAATTTAAAAAACTTTTATCTGAATTGTATAATCTGTTAAGCCTCATTGTATAGATTTGAACTACATAGACTATTTGATTATTTGAAAATTATGATTAAATCCGCACAGGTTTATAATGTAAAATTCATTTTGCATTTTGCTTTTCTTTCTTGAATTTTGTTAACGAACATCTTATGAGTGTTAACAAATAGTAGGAACATTTTTTTATTATCTTTTGGGGTAGGGGTCGCCAACACCAACCTGGTGGTCGCCCAACCCAGTCCCATATTTTCAGGATTTGAGATAAATATTTGGGAATATATCCAAAAAAAAATGTGAAGTACAAAAAATATTTGCAAATTCATGAAACAACAATGTTACGTACCTCAAAATTTTGTGGCTCAAATCACTCAAAACGATAGATTTGAACTACATAGACTATTTGATTATTTGAAAATTATGATTAAATCCGCACAGGTTTATAATGTAAAATTCATTTTGCATTTTGCTTTTCTTTCTTGAATTTTGTTAACGAACATCTTATGAGTGTTAACAAATAGTAGGAACATTTTTTTATTATCTTTTGGGGTAGGGGTGGCCAACACCAACCTGGTGGTCGCCCAACCCAGTCCCATATTTTCAGGATTTGAGATAAATATTTGGGAATATATCAAAAAAAATGTGAAGTACAAAAAATATTTGCAAATTCATGAAACAACAATGTTACGTACCTCAAAATTTTGTGGCTCAAATCACTCAAAACGACGTCGTTTTGAGTATAAATGAGTGTAAAACGACGTCGTTTTGTGGCTCAAATCACTCAAAACGACGTCGTTTTGAGTATAAATGAGTGTAAAACGACGTCGTTTTGACAGATTTGAGTCATTTGAGTCACAAAATTTTGAGCTACCAAACATTTTCTTTCATGAAATTACAACACTCATTTGCGCAATCTAGTGTATAAATAGTTTATACTTTCATGAGTTTGTAATTATTTTTAAAATTTTTCACTTCTTTTTTCTTTTCTTTTTTTTTAAGGTCTCCCCTAAATATTTTTGTCTCATAAGGTCAGATTATACTAAAATTCTGAGCTCATTTATTTATTGGGCCAAACTTGAAATAAGGAATTCTAACCTGATTTGACCTAACTTTATATTATTTAATTACTTAATAAACTAGAAAAAAAAATTAAAAAAATAAGAATAGTAAATATATATTTCTTTTTAGGCAAAATGTCAAAAATCATTTATAGTAGGATTTTGTAATGACACATTGAAATAACTATTAGAAGGGCCAAATTTGTTTCAGTGGGTAGATTTGGGATTTAAAAATTTATTATAACTGTGTTTGGAATGATTGTATTAAACTCGATGTCGTGACAAGTTGGATTGAGATGACATAAATATTCTTGTAATATAGTGCAAGCTCAACCTGATCGATACCATAACTACACTTTTTTTTCTTTCTTTTTTTGATTAAATTAGTTTAATGAATGTGTGGGGGAATGTGAGCTTAATTTATGGAAAATTATTAAGTACTTCATGTTCAATATCATTTATCAATTGGCACTTTTCATGTTGTCATTTTAAATACCAACACTCAGATTATAGATTCTATTATCTAGACCAATAACTATCAAATTGGAGCGCCATATAAATTTGCTTTAAGAATATTTAGTAGTTTCTCAAATTTATATTGAAAATAATACTAATTTGAGCAGAAACAACAACAACAACAACAAATGATAAAAGCCGAAATGTTATACATTTAGACCCTCCAAACTAGATTTCATAGTTCACAACTTGACGTTGCTTAATGGTTTTGTGTTGATTTAAGAGTTTTCAGGAAGATCGAGTCCCTACATGGAAATGATGTAATTAGGGATGGCAATGGAGGTTAATGGGGGTGGATATTAATTCCCCATCCCCATTCCCCTATAATAAATTTTCTCCATTCCCCATTCCCCATTCCCCATGGGTACCATCCTCCCCATTTCCTAATGGGTTTGGATTTTCCTCAACCCACTTTAATCCTCATTTTTATTTTATTTTTATTTTTTTATATTTAATGTTAACAATCACTTTTTTTTTTTTTTTAAGCTTCACAATAAAAGCTAAATATACCTTCAATCTTTTTCCTTTCTTTTTAATATATTTAATATTAACAAATTTTTTTTAAGGTTCACAACAAAAGCTAAATATACCTTCAATCTTTTTTCTTAAATAGGATCACTATACTAATAACAAATAAAAATTGTTATCCAATAAACTAATAGCTATATTTGGGATGTTATCCAACGTTAAAAATTGTTTATAAAAATAAAAATAAAAAAGAAGAAGAAAGAAAAGTTACAAGCTGCTGCTACTCAAATAAAATATTGATATATATATATATATATAAAATTGGGTTTACCCATCCCCAATCCAATCGTGGTCTAGGGCCGTATTGCCGGTCTAGGTCCACTGTAGAATCCACTTTTTATGATCTGGTAAATTATCAATGAATTTTTTTTTGTTTAATTTGAAAATCATAGTCATTGATTTCATCTACTTGAATCGTAATATTAATCCATTTGTTTGATAATAAACCACAGGATTAGAATTATTAAATTAATTAATTTTTTTAAATGAATGATTTGTAACTATTAATCTTTTGAAAATGAATAAATTAAATGAAGTAAGTAACTCTATAGTGAGGTTAAATGAAACAATAGTGCGGTCTAATTTATAATACAAACTAGAGACAAGCCTTATCTTGTAAATTATACCTTTGGTCCATTTTTTTTTCTATTCTCGTAGTCTCAATTTCATCAATGTAAACTCACACTTCTATTTACGTTTTAATGTGATCCCTTTGTTATTTTTGAAGAAAATATGTTATGTGAAATGTAAAAATTTTAATAATTTTCAATTGTAAAAAATGGTTGTGAACCTGAAAAAATAAATAAATAAATAAAAGAAAAAAGATTAAATGTACATTTAGTTTTGGTTGTGAATCTTAAAAAAAAAAAAAAAAAAAAAAACATTTCGGGAAATTAGTGGGTACCCATCCCCAACCCATACCCTATGGATATTTAAAGAATATTACTTACCCTACCCAATGGATAAGAAAAATAGGAAAAAACCCATGTATTTGGGTTGGGTCTCCATGGATACCCATAGGGTAGGTTATCCATTGCCATCCCCAGATGTAATTGGGAAGCTTTTGCAAACTTAAATAAATAATTGGAGAACTTTGATTCAAGCCCGGGACCAAAGGTTTAACGATTTGAAGTGACTAGAATAAAGAAAGTACAATTCATGGTTTGGAGAAGAAAAGATTGAATTTGATGAAATCCCACTATATTAGCCACTCTACACCGCTTTGGTATTTTGAACATATCTCTCATGTAGAACTAGATTGAGCTGAGTCAATGGGCATTCAAAAGAAGATTTAAAGCGCCTTTGATTGTCCGAATTGGATATAAAGATTTGAGGAGGATATATAATACCTAAGTATAAAGATAAGATATAATATGTTGTAGGATATAAGATGGTTTATATATACTGTACAGTCACTTATATTATATTTGATTAAGATAGGATATAGAATGGGATAAGAGGAGAGTAATTATTTTTTACCTTTAGATGAAAGATTCTCTATATCCGACAGTGGAAAATATATAATACCATGAGGGAGTTGGTATTGCATATCCCCTTTTGCATCATATACTATCGGAACTCTTTATATCTGGAGTAATCAAATACGAGATATAAGGAGACAAAAAAAAAAATATGTAAAACCCACCTTATATTATATCTAATTCCACCCTTATATCCGCCCCTTATGTACGGTAAATAAACCGGGCCTAAAAGATTACTACTCTTTGTGAGATACGAATTTTTTAATTCAAACGTTTATTAGGCCAAAATGGGCTCGAAAGAATCTATTGCTGTCAAAATTTGCAAGTATGAAACTATTTTCCTCACAGATTTCCAAGACATAATGTGGGTGTTTGGAAAGTAGATTTTTTTGTAAGTTTTTTTAGTTATAGGATATTATTGGAGAAAAAAAAATTATGTTTGGAAATATAGTTGAGTTTTTTTGTGGTTGGATGTGACGTTTGTGAGAGAAAAAGTGAAATAATTATGGGGTTTGATGTGATATTTTGTTTGAATTTATTTTTTTTTAATTTTGTAACCAATTTGTCTTTTAGTGGAAAAAAAAATAAAATAATAATAATAATCCTTCCCAAACACCAATATTTAAAGCTCTCCTCTGCCCGAAATCCGCATATGTGGAACCCAAAGTCCAAACAAGAAAAAAAAGACGAGAAGTTATGTTTCTAAAATCTGACTTTGGTAAGAATTTAATTTAATTCATGGGATTCTTATATTATGTTTGGTCGGAAAATTTAAGAAAAGATTTAGAAAGAAAAATGAGAAAAGAAGGTAAAATGTAAATGAAATATACCTAAGTTTCACTTAGTTTCACACTTTTTCTTTTCTTTTCTTTTTTCCAAATTCTTTCTCAAATTCCTCAACCAAACACAACGTTAAAGTTCTCCAACTTCAAAATAAAGGTCTTCAACCTTAGAGAAC